GAAGATGCTGATTAAATAAATCATAATACGTTAATAAAGCATGTCTATGTATAATGATTTGAATATTGTTAAACACTGCTTTTATTAAAATGTAACAAATCCAAAGTAGGTATTAGTGTTCAGGGTTAATATATAGTTAGTTAAGATATATAAATAATGTTGGCGCCAAGGTAGTTATAGGTAAGGGGTAGAGGATTGCGACCTGACCTTTCAGCCTCGTGATAAATTGATTCCTTTGTCGTCGAGTTCGCTCATTGGGAGGGATAACCCGCGCCTCGAATTGTCAGCTTGGTTTAGATTGGTCACTGTGAACATTCATACATTTTTAATTTTTTTTTTCATTTTGTCTATAATAAATCAACTAAACAAGGCGTATCTGAAAATTGAGCCTGATGGTTTTGAAGATTTAAGAAAATTTTGTAAATTATTTATAACCCCATTCAGATTAAAAATGTTTTTTTTTTTTACAATGAATTTCAATTTAAGTTATGATGAAATGATATTTGAATATTAATAGACTTCAAAAACCAGGCTATCCTCAATTCAACTGAATTTTTTTACGGGTACGTTCTACATTTAGGTGTATAGGTAGGTAGTTTTTACAAAATTAGTTTCGAAAAGGAATATTGTAATAGTAGATTGTTGACTGAACTAATGTTGACAATGTGATTTTTTGCTATATTAGCAACTTCTACATCCATTTTGTTCCTGTAAAATATCTATGCACCGCTAATCCACTCGTTAAAAATAAATCGCTAACCTTTAACAACAAAAATAAACTGTTAACCAGTTGCGGACTAACCTCGTCAGGGGCCCGGGGTGGCATCAGGCGCGGACCTACAACTTTTTAAAACCGGGGCAAAGACTTGATATTGCGTTTCCAGGCATTACACCAATTTATGAATTGATCAAGGGAAATTGCAACCATTTGGAGGTCTCCCAGGATAAGAGGCCCGGGGCGGACCACCCACCCCCCCTTAGTCCGCCACTGCCGTTAAAGTTAACAAAAGTACATGCACAATCGACAACAAACCTTACAACTATCACCAACTTTATCGAGTTGGTCCCTCCACGGTGCATCCTTAGGAGTTGTTAATAGTTGCGCGAGTAAAAGAACGTTTGCGTTAAATCTGTGGTCGGCGCTGCACGGTCCAATACAAAATGACCCCACTATAGGTCGATTGATAGAAGACATTTAGTAGGCGTCGTCTGTGGGATCGATTATTTTATAAAGTAAGTAACAATACCAGGGTTCCCTTGTCAACTATTTCGTATATTTCCTACTTATCATCGACTATTGTTACTGAGTCATCTCACTATTCGGTTGAAAAATTTCGAAATGACATAGCGATAGAATGTCTGAGACGTATATAATCAATCAATTTTGTTTTATATTTTTATACAAAAAATAGAATCAATAGAATTTATATACTATGATGTGAATTTAGACACATGAGTGAATTCGAATTTTTGTTCGGATTTGTACGGAATCGCTCCCCTGATTTGCATAGCAAGCAGGTCACCAACAAAAGTATTACTTAAGAAAAGCTGAAATCTGTATTCTTCATTAAGTGTGGGTATTAGGTTAATGTTATATTCGGATTTATTATTACCTCAATGGATTTAGTTGAGTTATAAAATTAACGATTCTGCTAAAAGCTTTACATTAGCATTAGAATTGACACGTCACCAATAAAATTTATGGGGAATAACCGTTGGACTTAATTGGCGGTTAGGTAGGATTAGTTTATAGCTACATTGATTTTCTTTATCGATATTGAGCAATTGTAAATTCTCGGGTGATAATTATTAAGACGAATGTGATATATATTTAAATTATGATTGTGTTAAAATATTTTATTAATCCGATATTTAGGAGTAACTTTGCAGCTTTGAGTTTATATTTCAATATATACGCCATATTAACGTCTAGACTGATAATCACTGAATATTTCAAGAAAAACAAGCACTTTTGAATATCTCATACCTATATTCGGGAAGTGCTAGCAATATTTTCTTTCGCATTAAGATAATTTTATTAAAATGCAAGTTAGATAATATTACCTAAAAATAATTTAAAAGACTGCCCAAAAAAAGGGTTTAGGCCTTTGTGGGTCATTAGTTTTGTTGGTTTAATACTCTCAGTTAATATCTATAATATCATATCTACGTGTTTGTTATAACACGCAGGTGGGCTCAAATGCCCACAATAAATGAGTATTTACCAAATAACACTATGAGAATAGAAGTGTTTGGTCGGTCGCGCGCGCTCACATTTAATTTTCCATTTTCTCAAAGGCTTAAGCAAATACCTAACGTCCATTATTCAAACTCGAATGTTTCCACTTTGCGGGTCGCTCTCTGGACAAGCCGTGTTTTGTAAGAATAATCAGTTCTATGGTTCTACTCGCAAACCGCTTATCTAAAACTCAAGCAATTTTAAACCGTAAATGTATACTAAAAAGACTCTACACTTTTTTAAATAGCTGCATAAATAAACATGCTTTTCTAGACAAGCATTTATTTAAACAGGATAATGTGACTGAATGAAGATAGGTTGTTTCTAGCTTGTTCATTGTATGATTTGTTGTGGTCTGTGAAAATGTCTTCTTTACCTGCTGATGAATGTTGAAATAGTTATTTCAATAACATAATTTTAATACATAATATATTTCGGTATCAACAATTCTTTGGTACCTTTCTTAAACAGACGGGGATAAACATTTTTTTATTTATTTTTGTTATATTGATGAATCTAAATAAAAATATAAGCTGTAGGTAATCACAAAATTCTAACCCAAAAATAAATAATTTCTATACGCTTTAGTAGAAAACAGATTATGATGCACCGAAATACTATATCGATTACGCGTAGAATAAAAATATATTAACGTTATTTTCTTCATATTTAAAATTGTTCCGTATCAAACATTAATTGTATATAATAGTCTATATTATTTCATTCAATCAAACATATTCCAAATTAAGAAGCTAAAGCACAGGTATTATGGAAATCTAAAACAACAAAGGTAACACAACACCAAGACCCGAGATAATATAGAAAAGTTATCCATAGTATCTATAAATCAACACAACTACTCCCAGCGGCGTATAACATCGCACCCTTTCCTTTGAAACCATAACCACAACACAACAGCAATAAGGTTTTACCGAGGGTTCTAGCGGCTGAGGTTTTATATTGCGTAAAGCCCCGTACACTTACCGCCTATCGTTATCTACCCATCTGCCGTATTGTGTGTTTCGTTGAGCTTGTTACGGCTTCAAGGTTCCAGTCAACGAAATGAAAATTCACGGGACACCGTTTCGCGAGTGGCTACGATAGTTTGCCTGCTGAGTTATCTATGTGTATTAAATGTATTATAATTATACCGAGTTACCTGAGGCGCAATTTGGTAGCAAAACGTTTATAGAGATGTTTCACATCACCAGCCCTTTTACGTCCCCACTGCAGGGGCTCAGGTTAAGGAGGATGGGCCATGACCCTCCACGCTGGCCCAATGCGGATTGGATGTTTATGATATCGATATTTGTAATTAGCATTACATAAGTACCAGTTACGTTAAGTGCCTGCTTACTCATCTATACAGAAGTTCTGAGCCACCGCAGGGGGGACGTTAAAAGGCTGATGATGAAGTACTAGTTTATAATTTAGTAATTTTATAAAAACGTTCAGCTATCAAATTGCACTTCCGATAACTGGATCTTGTTTAATCAGTTTGATTTTCTTTTTAGCGCTGCAATCAGATTACTTAAACGAAATAACTTACCACCTTGTATAAGAATAACAGATTTATGGAAATTCGGCATGTACTGATATTTCTTCATTGCCTTCGATGAGGATAAATATATGTTTAGCTTAATTTATATATATTTTTGAACAGGTAAACCCGATCGTTTAAAAATTTCTAAGATTCGATTTAATTACTTTTTATGATCATCTTGTAATTTTATTGATTACCTGTAAGTTAGTGAACTGAATCGAAGATTTGCATTATTGTAAAAGTAAAGACTTCAATGGGTCACATTGGGGGAAGACATGGACGAAAGAGAAGTTAATATATATTCCTTTAACCGTATATTTCAGTCATTTAAGATTACACCTCATTTAATAAGTGTGTTGTAAAAGAAAATAATATTTTCGTAAAATAGAGATAGTGTTCTATAGCAATAACGACCACATTATTTTTACTAACCACATTCAGCAAAGGAACTAATACTACTAGAAGCATTTCTGTTTACATAATATAATTAGTAATAATTATAAGTTTACGGTACAGTAAAAGATATAATTATAATACTATTTGTTTTAGGCTGGATTACAACTCTCTGACTTAAATACTGCAATTACAGTACATGAGTTTGAATGACTAGATCGGACCCGCTTTATAAATGCTCCCGTATGTTTCATTTTGAGGCTTTCCCAGCAATAAAATTTGCATAACTACGCTCCTTGGCACGGGCACAGCGTCTTATTAAATTTCCACCCCTCCAAAACTCATTAATGGTTTGTACTTAACCACCTAGCGATGTTATTCTGTGATAAATCATAAGGTATCACGTAATAGGTCCGTGCGTGGCTGCGGATGACTTTTATTGCCGTCTCAAGATGGAAGTAATCCGTGGGATCAAGGATGGAACGGAACGCCTCGAGGATTTGGGATAATCTTTTGTTTATACGCGGTTTTTTTGGGAAATTGTAAGATATTACAGCATTACGTTCGCTAATAATTCTCTTTAGGATCTCGCGATGGTTTATTACTATAATTTGCTAAGATTGTTTAAACAAAAACAAGATGTCCTTCTTTACTGACATTAATTACCCTAAAAAAAATAGTAACTATTATGATATTTATAAAATTACCTTGGGCTTTAAAATTGCAGATGTCCACTTATCTCTGTGTGCACTCATAGTTGCAATATGATATTTGCCAGACATGATCGATATCATATTTCTAAAAGTGTTTACAAAAATAACCATCAGTCACTTACACGAGTGCCAGTGAAAATGGTCTGCTGGTTGGGAGTTGTTTTAATATTTGTGTTATTTGTTTCTCTTGCAAACACTTCTTTAGTGACATGGGCACCAAATAAAAGCTTTAATTTAGCAAAAAATTTTGACACGAACACTTTACCTTGTTCAAAATCAACAGTAATTTTTCCCGAGTCTGTTCAGGAGACAATACAAATTGATTCTTCGATAGCCGTAAGTCAGTTAATATTGCCCAGAGATGGGGCAATCATGCTGGCAGAAGGAGAATCTATTTTGTTTGGAGCTGACGAAAATGTTGACAATTGTACTGGAGGAAATATTTTTTACAAAGATGATTCTTCATCAGCTTGGGAAAATCCAGGAGTCTGGAACTCTTCAAGATTTAACAAGGCTACCCCTGATGCAGAAAGGGTCCCATGCTACGACGACACAGTTTTGTTTCCAAAGAATGCACAGTTTACTATTCAACTACCGGATAACACTCAGTACGTAAGTGGAATTATTGTTGAAGATGCAAATTTAACAACAGCAACATTTTTGGAACGTATTTTTAAACAAGCCGATGGAGGTCAACAGTTCGTTCTAGGTATGCGATTAAATGATCATCCAGTTGTCATTAGACAGGAACCATGTAAGTCAACCTCTGGATGCCCTTGCCAAACTTATGGTCTCAATATTAATTGTAAACTGAAATACTGCGCTCCACCGAAGTGTTCTAACCCAATTAAACCAGTCGGGCATTGCTGCGAAATTTGTGGCGGATCCCTTTTGTTTCAAATTGAAAATTTTAGTATGCAGGCATTTAAAAAACTCGTTAAATCAGTGATCAGTGATTATGGAGCAGATGATTTTGTCTATCACATAGGGATGCTTCCCAGTATTTTTATTGATCGTGATACTATACAAACACTGCCTAAACGAGTACAAGTGGTAGTTATGGATAAAGGAGAATATACAGGAGCTAGTTCTGAAGTTATCAACGAGATAGGCTATCAGATGTCCAAGGAATGGGCGAAGAAAGAAAAGCTGGTGCTCTTAAGTGGAAGTCCATATTCGGAATCTGGATTAGGTAGTAAGATAGCAGTGTCCATGTTTTTTGTAGTCTTGGCTACTTTGGGGGCGTTATTTATATACTATTACAGGGACACAAAGATAAGTATATCAGAATTGAGGAGTAATCTCAATATACGTGGAGGAGGCATATTGACACGTTTTCAGGGACGATCGGATAGTATAGTATCGTTGACAAGAAGGGATTCTAGTGTATCAGGGTTGCGGGAAAGTGGCGCAACTGCTTTTAGAAATCCTTTATATGATTCCAAGAGGGGACGGGTTACAGTAACTGAATCTACTTTGGAAGAATGATATATAATAACTTCTTTGTATTTGAAAAATATGGTTTTTTATTTGTTTTAATAAATTTTGTGAATTCTTCGTATTGTTCTTTGTTATAACAGTGTTTTAATACACTTTTGAAAGCGTTTGTTCCATACTCTATGTTTGATCTCCAAAGACAAAGCAAGTACTCAATATTGTAATACGAAAACAGATGTAATATTATATAATATTTTTTTCATCACCAAGAACATAGGTAGGTAATGGACAATGATATAAAAATGTTAAATCAATATTGCATTACACTGTAGTGTAGCTGATAACTTATGTTATTTACACGACATACAAAAAGTATTAACTCAGTGTAATTGAGCTTTGAACAGGACGGAGAATTCAAAAATAATTGTTGAATGACGTAATATATTTCATGCAACATATGCTGCTGATAAACCAAATATAGTATGTGTTGTATTGACGTTTTTGAGATCTAAATATAAACTGAATAAAGGTTATTTTGAGATCCATAATCACTTAAAAGAATAAAGCAAATGACAGTTCAAAAATCAAATCAAAAGTAGATCAAAATCAACTCTTTGCGTCAGAAAAAAATAATCAGAACATTTCTTTTCTTGTAAAAGTAGAGAACAGAGGTATGAAACTCGACACTCCCAAATCTAACATTGAAATCGCTCCCTTTGAGGGTTTCCTGCGCTTTGAATATAAACTCAATCAATAGTATTCGGTTTCAGTGAAACTGTTCAAAAGACCTGTCTTGAAGATTCGTTAATCATATTTAAAGTTCGTGCGACCATTAAGAGTGTGAGTTTTATGAAAATAAACTTATAAAAGTTTATTCAGTTGAAGTTAAATGTTAATTATGTATTGCGTTTTTAAATTAATACTAATTAAATAAAAAAGCCTAAGTCCTTTATTTCATATTCATTATTAACTATTCCATAGGAGATAATTGAGTAAAACAAAAACTTGTTTACTTATTTACTTTTTATTTTCACCTCTTCTCACCTGTTTTTTCTGTTTGCACCTTTCCGAACTAATGAATGTACAAGATATAAATTTATCACACATTTTAGTTAATATATACTTAATGAAACATGCTTAAAATGCCTCTTTGTCTTTGGCACTTTCGTCTTTATCGAAAGTTTAAATATTTGTAAAAATATTTCTTTCGGCTGTGTCGCTGGATTACCTGAACATTGATGAAAAGACACTCTGTCGTAGCAAGAACGTAACAAGTACTTGAAAAATCGCGAAAAGACACGGGTTCGAGACTCATTCATTGTCAGGGACAAAGAGGATTTTTTAAAGGCATGATTCATTAAGAATATTTTACAGTATAGTTTTCTGAATGCAAAATTGATCAAATATAATAATATATACTTGCTTTTGTGTATAATACTTGCACCATCGTCAGGCGAATGTTATATCTGGTAGTGATACGTACCAGTGAAGAGCGAAATGGCTCACGAACGTCGCCCATTGTCGTTCGCGACCATTGTTTTTGCCCGAACTCTGATTTATGTACGTTTAGCCGTGTTACGCCCCCAGCTTCTGCAGTCATTGACTAATGCTGTGACTGATAAGCGTGCGTTTGACGCTATTGTGGCGACGATATGAATAGAAAATGAAAATTGACAACCTTCATATCCTTTTCACAGTGAGGTAAGTAAAAGTTGTGTTAGACTGTCGACGTCAACGCTATTTATTTAGTTTCAAAGATATGCCTTTCGGACTGTTTGTTTGTGTAGTGAAGTTTTTGACAATTAGAAATGTTTATATTACTATCTTTTTAGGGCCTTTGATTTTTAGGGTCTTTTATCTGTGTTTCTTTAGTTTAATGGTACTATATCATTTATTTGGTATAATTTTACGACTGAGCTTGTCTCCATCAATAATATGAACTATGTTAGTGAAATTATCTGCATAATTCAAAAATGTGTCATGTTTTCACACACATATATAAATTCGTTGTTAGGGGCAATAAAATCAAAATAGATTTACGTGTACACAATAAGATTAAACTGAAATCAATCCAAGTCCGCATAAAGACGCAGTAAACGTCATGAAAACGATAAAACAAATAAAGCGTGCTCTAAAACTATTTCCAAGTAACAAGCCCTAGCGGACATAATTCATAAAACTGAGGGTTGTCAAACTATTAACGTACAAGTGACAGTACCTGAGCATGAGAAAATAGGTCATTTATTTTATTATTTACTGTACTAAATTCATTAAGATGTCAATAGAGTTAGCAGCTTCATCGAGTTCGGTTGACCTCATGTTTCAATTAAGGAATTGTTTCATTAAAATATTTTTAGTAGAAAATTACATGGCAATATCTGCAATTATTTAAATTAAAAAAAAATCTCTATTACGGAATATTCTTCAACTATGACTTAAACTTATTCAAGAATTGTAATATGTAAAATGTTCTATTTTCTAGCGATATCATTTTCTATAACACTACTATTATCGTGTCACACTTCAAATTGCGTGAAGAAGAAATAATTTAAGCATAGATCAAGGTAAAAAATAATCTACTGTAGGTTTAGTTCCTTAGTAGTTAAGTAACAAGCTTAAACGCTTTTGATTGAAATCGGGATAACTCAAGGACGATTCTATGCAAGAAAAAGTATTAACATCTTTTTTTTTTAAATCGCGATCTAGAAATATGGTTTCATATATTTTTCTGGTAGCTCTCACTGTGTCTGTGTAATTTTTCTCAAATAAAAATAACAGAAACGCGGGATCGAAGAGGACTTCTGTGCATTTTTTCGTCTAAGCTTTTGGGTACAATGTCTCAACCCTAATGTCCGAGCTGAGGTGCCTGTGCTGGAGTTCCATAAATCCAGGGCCGGCACATTTGTCACCGGGCGCAGGCAGCGCTCCTGAAACGTGTCGACTTCCAATTTTACGACGCAGTAAAATGATGAAGTGCCCCCTGTGATGTGGGTCTTTCATGTTTCTCTTTTTAATTCTGTCAGGTTACGAAAATATGGACCGCATCGTGTGAACCCCGTATTCACATAAATATATGAATGCAAATATTATTCAGCGTCTTACAGTTTCATAGGTAATCACATCCGAAAAGGGCAAGGACACATTAATTAAACGATTTGATACATGGGACTTATTATTTAGATTATCAGTAACTATTCAAAAATAAATTTAAAGGAAAATGTTTAAATAATACTAAAGAATATTTTGATTGGACAACAATAACTAAAGTATTGATAGTTTAGTATTGGAATAAAGCAAAAGGTTTAAAAAATGCGAGACATTCATTGAAAAAGCTTAGAGTATTTACAGCTGTGTTAGTGAAAGTGTAAGATAAAATATAGATATACAAAGTTTGCCGGCAAGATATCAAAAGAAGCTAATAATAATAATAATATACTTTATTGCACACAACAGAACAAAACAAGTTACAGAGAACAAAAAATAAATAAAAAAAAGTACACAAAAGGCGGCCCTATTGCTAAGCAGCAATTTCTTCCAGGCAACCTATGGAGGACAAAAGATAAAAAGGATAAAGATTATCTAATTGTTATTAACCTCGGTGACCTTATTACAGATTTTCACCAACGTCTGATAAGGTAAAGAAATAATTTAGTTACGAAATTCTGATAAGTGAGCAATTGAAAGAATGAAAGAATTAGAAGTTTTTCTTCATAGTCAGCAACTATTCTGATGTCTCGTGGAGCTGTCACACCCCCTAAACTATACGAGGCATAGTTACAAGGAGGGCTGTAACTGGATTACATCTCGAGCTATTTCACTCGGATTCGAGAATCATTTTAGCGCGAGTAAGGATTTAGAATCGAATGGGGCGGTAAGTGAATTAAGATGGATGGCGCGGGGTCCTGTTACGGGTTTCCAGTCTGCATCCCAACATGTTTTGTGCAGGTTTAGTTTCTTTAGTAAGAAGGCTTTGCTGGTGCGAATACCTGGATAGAAATTATATTAAAATGTGGATAATGTCCTTTTCGAAAGAATTCCCAAATTACTTTTAGATTAGATATCTAATTTTATAGAAGAGAGAAAATTTTATAAAAGAGCAGGTTTTTAATTATGAATCTAATTTTGATGTATTAGCAGTATATTGTTGAATTGATTTTATAAAATATTTTATTGAAAATCTGGGAAAGAAACAGTTGAGTCGTTATCAATTCTTATCCCCAGAGATTTGTGGTATATTTTATATTTCTTTGAAAGTTATTTTTCGTTTTCCAATTAACTATTTCCTAATTAGATTATTAATGTTATTTGCATTAAGATTCTTGTAATAAGGATTGATTTCAAAGAATCTTTTTGGGGTTATATATCTTTATCGGTACTTTTTTTTCATTTTAAGATGCAATAAAATATTTAATTTAAATTATCGCGTATTTTTTTATGGTTGATACTTAAAGCCGGTTTTATGGTTCGCTTGCATTTCCCGAAGAGTACGAATAAAGATTTCATTATTCAGCATTCATTTGTGTTTATGAACAATAACCAAAATCAATGTCTATAAACATCTACCGGTACTTTAACGATCGCACTAGTTTCGTCTATAGCTTGTTGATATCTATGTTTGATAGCACCATAACTCGAATAATAAGATGGACTGTCGTAAATATGCCAGCGGGAAGCGTTCCAATGTTTTGGATTCCACTTAGTTTCATGACGTTTGGGATTTATAATACCTACGAACCTTCGGCCGACAGGCGGCGGCGAGGGCTAAGGTTTCCTGAATTAGTACTGAATATTATATTTCTGACGCCATTTTAATATTTTAGCCACGGAAAGCAATATAAAGGTAGCCTTTAGATTAAGCTTCAAATAGTTTCTACCGATTTTGACTTCATTATTTTTAAGGTGGTGGTCATATTAGTACAAAAGCCTTTAATCTAAATAACCTCTTTCCTTCCTGACGATCCGCTGTTCGTACGATAAGAGTAATAACTCAAAATTTTAAGCACATCGACTTAAGTACATACAAATTCGTGATCAGAAAAATGAGCTGTATATTTTTCTAGATGTTTTTTGTATTGATAGTAGTTTTGCTCCTTATGTAATAATGTCATATTCTTTTGATT